CCCGCAGACCACGAGGCCAAGAGAGCAGCAGAAGAGGCCTATCAAGGAATATTTTTTTTGATCCTGTTCTTATTTTTTTGATCCTGTTTTTATTTTTTTTGATGCTCTTTTTATTTTTTTTGATACCTATGCCTCATAGGAGCCCCACCAGGTGCATGTCTTGTCAAAATGTCCTTTCTTTTCACAGCTTTCCAAACGAGCAGCTCTGCTGGGCCAAGCTCAAGTCGAAATTGGCCTACATCCCCCAGCTCAACCTCCTCCTCACAGTAGCGGATGAGAAAGCTCCGTGTCGAGAAGGTATACCTGAGAGGTCTTGGCACAAGAACAGCGAATAGCTGAGCAGGCCGCAGGCATCCACAAGATTCCATAAGCCCATTTGGAAAAAATATATTTCTTGTAGCCAAGAATCAGCTCCTCATTAAGGTGTGCAGGAATCAAATTGTGATGATCCACCCGTGGAGCTTTGCCCTTGATTGTCTCTGTGACCAACGTTGGGCCCTGCAGAACGCCGGCCAAAGTGCAGAAACATCTTGAATTGAGCCGGCCAGCCTTGAGATAACTGAAGGGCATAGCAAGTGCCCGGGTCTCATCATCTCTGTAGATTCGTGTCTTTAAGTGATAAAGACCTCCGAGAAGTGCTCGGCTCAAATCGACACATGTACTGTCAAACAAAAATCAGGAAACTGTCTCTGGATTCACACGGAGCAGCATGTCAAGGCAATTTGCATTGGCAGTTCTCCTTGATGCAAATTATCTATTGACGCCCTTGCACATGGGCTTCCACATATCGCACGACAGGTTCAGGCCTTGGTGGAAGAGATCAATATTCCGGAAGCTCTCAAATTGGAGAGCGATCTCCACAGCCGTGCACAGGGACATGGCAGCGCTACGCACTCGTGGCTCATGGGCCTTCTATGTGTGATCCTGCTCTTGGGGATGAAGCATGCTCATCCACATACCAGTCTAGGGTTGGAGCACCTCCGTAAAAGCTCTAGTTGAGGCTAGTCAGCTTGTTTGTGATTTGGAACAAGTCCTTGGAGCAATCTCCATTGATTGCATCGAGTAAGGATGTCTTGAAAAGCAAACATGATGATGGCAACATAGTGAATGGAACTATATCAGCTATGTGGCAGCCAAGCTGTGAGCAGTGCCGCCGTAAATCACGCTTGTGGTTGTTGCGAGTTGCAAGCAAACCGTGCTGAGACGTATCGCAGCAACTTCGGTTTTTCTGAAAATAGAGACGAGCTTCATGATCAAGTCTTCAAACAAGTTCCACCAAACATGTTCCCCGTGTGACATTGAAAAGTTTGTCATTACCTTTCCCTCCCGAAAGCGGTCCGCCATGTCCATCACCTGCTTCTTGACCTGCGGAACATTTCTGGCAGAAAGACAAGGTTCCTGCGGAACTGGAATCTCCAGCAGAACCTCCTTCGCGAGGTTCGCAGCTAGGTCGTCTGGCAGCTCCAGCCTGGCTACACTCACCGCCACTCACACCTCCAGCTGCTCTGTGGTTGCACAGTGGTTCTCTCCATGAGGTGTCTCTGTGACTCCCAACTAGAGCAGCCGGAAGGGCAGGGCTCCACACGTTGCAAGTATGACCAAGTAAGAGAAAAAGATTCATAAAAACCGAAAACGCGAAAGTAAAGCCTTTTAAAGGGGTTCCTTTTCTAAATTGCCCAAACATTACCAAGCTTGCAACGAAAACACCGTCGGACCTGCAGGCACTGCAGGATTCCATTGTCTTTGGTGGAACCACCCGGACACGAGGGGCCTCCCGAAATCAAGCTTTCGTGTTTGGTCTCTTTACAAATGTTCCTTCAGCCCATGGAGGTCACAGTTCTGACACAAAGCCTGACTACTCTTCTCTGCACGCTTCTCTGGCAGCGCCTGAACTTGTACCAACTGCAAAGAAAAACCCAGAAAAATGACTAATTGCCGGTTGCGCAAATTTAAGAACAGGAACAAGAAGCTACTAGGGGCTGCTGGCCTTACTACTAAGAGCAAGAAGCTATTAGGAACAAGAAGCTATTGTCACTTGCGTCTTTCACCGGCTCTCACCTCCTGGGTGGAGGCGTGCCGCTCTTGCCGGCGAGATCCTGAGGACCTCAAACCAGGAGTGGATTCGTTGGAAGAAAAGAGTTATATATATATATATATTTATTTATTTATTGTGGATTGCCCACACTTGTAGCCCTTCGACCCTCAGCTGGTGGTCCTCGCCGAGCAACCAAGCGTGTCCTCACGCTATGGCTCGAAAGCCTTTCGAAGGCCCTTGACCCTCACCACCCAACGGACTCGTGCCCGAAAAGGCTTCGGAAAGAAGTGCGACGGCTGAGGTCCGGACATGCCTGAGGGTTTACATCTGGAAATTCACACTCCCAAAAATTCTTCAAAACTTTTTGTTGGCTTGGTGTCAGATGGGCATCCGGATGTCAACCACTGCATTCTAGTTCGATGGTCTGCTCGTTGCTTCAACACCTGCAGCTCGTCATTAAGTTGATAGCGACCCTGTTGCAATGTATATCTCAAGAAATGGCTTTGCATTACCTTGGTTAGTGCATCCGCAAGCTGGGCCCCCGTATGTACCCACCTCAAGGTCACTCCTTCTGAGAGGAGACCTTTAATCGCCCTGGCCTGAAGTTGCGCCCTAAACTCCTGACAGTTCGGTTGGGCGGTTCAAGTCACAAGGTCATAGAGGGATTTGCAGTCTGTGACTGCCACTGCCTTCGGGAGCATCTGTGCTAAGTGCGTGGATGATGACACTGGTGGTGGGATATTTTGAAACACTTTTTTGGGGTTGTCGCCAGTTTGTCTTGGGATCTAAAAGCCAGGTCCAGTAGAGTCTCAACCATGATAATTGGCCTAGGCTAGTTCGTAGTGATGTCGTTTCAGCTGATAGAGTGCTTGTCACTACTTTCTGGATTTTCTTGCAGCCGGGCTGACTGGGCACTGGTTGTTTTCCATGATGTCTTTGTGGGTTGCCAAGATTATCATTCCTGTATGGCTTTCCGGGCTCTTGACTGATGCAAAGGATGCATCCGAGAACATCAAAAACCTTAGGTCTTTGATGGGGATTGGCTGGATTCGACTATGGGTGTCTTTGTACCGTTTTGCTTCGTGAAGGACCCGATTGGCGTCGTGTAGAGTCTGTACTGTTGCTTTGTTTATCTCACTTTGTAGGTAGCTTAGCCTACTTGACAAATCAGGTCTCGTGCTTATCGCTGCGTATTGAAGGCTTCCTATCAATGCACGAAGACTGTGTTTCTCTTCGGAAGTCACTGGCTCCGTCAGACATGTTCGCCTGTTTGCATTCATATGGATTTGTTCAATCGTGCTGATATATTTCCCTTGAGACATGGCGATGTTTTTGTCTAGTTTTTGGTCGATATCTACTCCAGTAAACGTGAACTGACCTGACTTCTTGCTCCCGAATGGAAACTTGGCTTCTAGCTTGGCAATCTGCTGATCAAAGAACTGGTCGCCGCCACACAGGCCATCATCGACATGGACACCCAGAATCCCTGATGGGGTTTGTTGTCCTTCTTGGTACAGGATGTAAGCACATGGGTCGAAAGGTGCTGGGACAAAGTTCAGTTCCCTTAAGGTCCGGTCCAACTCCCTATACCACAATAATGGGGCATCTATCAACCCGTAGGCAGATTTTTCGAGTTTGCACACTTGGTTCATTGCGGTTTTGAGTTCTGGAACAGGTTCGACGGCTAGGACTCGACCTTCTTGGGTTTTGCCTTGCAAAAATGCGGCTCGGATGTCGAAGCTTCTCAGCGTCCATCCCATGGAACTAATCAACTGGAGTAAAAGCATCGTGGATTGTTTTCCCAATGTGGGACTGTCTCTCGGGACCGTTTCTATTTGGGGGTCTTGATAACCAAGGACTACGAGACGAGCCTTTTGTTTGCGCGTAGTTTGGTTGGGTTTTTGACTCACTTCGGTTGATTGTGCGTTTTCTTCATCTAGTGGTTTCCATATGCAGATCCATCGGCATCGCAAGATTTGCTTCGGACTCAGCTGATGCCTGAAGATGCGACTCACTGTGCCTGTATCAAGCCAATTCTGTATTTCCTTGTTTTTCGCTTTCCTAAAAAGCTCTTGTTCTTCCTGAGAAAGTTGATGGAGTTTTACCTCAGTTCGGTCACGTTTGGCACTTGTTGCTACGAAAAGGTATTCCGAAGGATGTTCCGATGTTTTCCATGCTTTGATGTCCTGCTCGGTTACGGTGGCTTCATACTTCCAACCGACATGATTGTCAGGATCTGGCAAGTCCTCGGCTTGATCTTCAACACACAACAGGTGGTCACAAACAAGTTCGTCACCTGAATCTGTCGGAATTGGCTCGTTCGCCGGACATCATCAGGTGGCCCTGAGACCAGTCCCTCACTTGGCTCTTGATCTGATTGTTCTTCTTCCCTGGATGATGGGGGTCGAGCAGTCGAGCATTGCTTTCCTGAGCCTGTTCTGATGCTTGAGAGGTGCTGGGGACTTCAGGCACTTCTATTCTCTACTATAGTTAGTCTCTTCGTACCTTTTGTTGGTTCCCGTTCTGATTCAAAATCTTGGATCGGATGGAGGTTCTGTGAAATTCGTTCTTTCTCCTGTTCACTAGTTTCACGAATGTGCTCTGGGGAGATTTTGATGAGGTTTCCCATGTGGTTGCACCAAACACAGTGTTGTCTTTCTTGTTGGATCACTCTTGCAGGCCCAAACCATCCCTGAGTTGTTGGCGTTTGGCGCCAAATCATGAACCAAGTTCCAGGGTGGTACATGCCTCGATCTGGCCTCGTTCTTCGAAGGATTGCTCTTCGCAATGACATGTCATTATCTGTCATGTGAAAAGCTTTGCGGGCAGCTTCGCGTCTGGCCAGCTTGTTTCGAAACAGAATTCCCTCTTGAGTCTCTTCGTCGGCAAGCAAATGGGATGGGAGATTGTAGTCGGATGTTACGGAGGCTGGGACTCGTACGGTTTTCCCACAAGTCAGGATGTCTGGTGAGTATCCCTGTTTGAGACTTAGGGCGTTCTTTGCAGAGGTACAGTGGGCTAATGCGGTTTGCAGGTCCTGGTATGACTTGATTGGAAAATCATGTTCATACTTACGAAGCATGGTCTGCCAACCTTGCCAATCTGCCAGTGTGCCCCAGGTGCTGCGACAACTGCTTTGATGTTGAACTGAGTCAACGCGTTGGCAAACTCTCGAGAGGTGAACTCTGTACCTGCATCGGTGTGGAGCTCCAATGGGGCTCCGGCCCACTGGAACCGTCCAGTCACCACCTTTTCGATGGCATCCTGACTACTCTGACCCGGTGATGAGCATGCAACATGGTAGTTGGTTCCGTAGTCAATCATATGGTAGAAATGGTATGGTGTCCCGCTGGCGGCTGTGTATTATACCGTCTATTCCTACCTTGTCATTCAAGTCAAGATCGTCTTTGATGGTTGCTGGTCTTTGGATTTTGGGCCTCTGTTCATTCTGACATGTTGAGCGCTTCATGTCTAGGATTCCTTGACTTAGGGATGGCTCGTGACCCTGTTCTCGCAGTACCTGACTCAATCGGGCATGACTTGGGTGTCCCAGATTTTGATGGAGCTTGATCAGAAAGGTCTTTTCTTCTGGGGACAAACAAAGGAATCTGCTTCCACGGGCTTCGCTTTGGAGGTCTATCTTTTGACTTGGTGTGTTGACCCACGCTCGTGATGGTGTTGGTTCTGGTGCTTTGGCTTCAACTTCGCGCTGAGACTTTGGCATGTCATCACAAGTCACAGGGTGCTCGGCCCTGGTTGACACGGCAGGGCCTCCTTCTTTGCCGGACTCCCTATTGGGTCTCACCACCTGTCGATTGGACAGCTCTTGCCAAAATTCCCAGTCGGTTTCAACACGAACGGATTCGTCGGTACGACTGACGATTGCTGCAATACGATATGGTGCTTCATTCTTCACAATGTCTTTGGGTGGAGCTAGTGTACGATCAGACCCCTTGCATACCATGATCCTACGAATGATCTTTTCTGGGAATATCTTCTGAAACTGGTTTAGCACTTCAGGCTCTTTGAGTTCTGTTTTACCTACTCTTGGAATTCGGGGTTTGATCACTGCTATGAGTCGTTCCAGTTCTGCTTGTCGGGACTGTGCAGGCTCTCCTTCGGTGCTCTTTCCATCAATGCGGCGTCTCTTTAAATGGCCGCTTAGCACTTCCAACGGTGTTGGTGGCATTCGACTCTTCGGATTGCTCGAAGATGGAGAACTGATGCGAAGTCTCTTGCATGATGCATGTCGACTGTCTTCATGGCTGACCAAAACTGGAACACACATGTGCTGTTTGATCTTGGTGAGAGTCTTTGCTACATATCTCGAAAACTTGCGTGTGTATCTTTCAGTATACGCACTACAAAATATACGATCACCGTTGACATGGACAGTCCCTGCGATGGCTCGGTGCTCATGGTCGCGACGACATGTGCGACCGTGGAGGGCGAGGAACATCTCGGCTGATGTTGTCCGGACTGCCATACTCTTCTGGATGTGGAGACTGGTTTCTGGACACTTGAGGGCTCCCACATTACACATGTCAAAATGTGCTTCTTTGGTGATCCTGAACAACTCCTTCACTAATGGGGTCTTGAACATCAAGGATTTCCGGGGCTGTTCCCAGTGCATGTGGTTTCCTTGGCTTCGGGTGATCCTTAAGAGTACAATTCCCAGAACAAGTTCGAACAGATGTTGTTCTCTGTCCCTTTGAATCTGGTCAAACATCTCCATGGATCTCCTCTCATTGAGTTGGTTCCAGGCACACCACGGGCTGCATGTGGGGCTGTACCACACATTTCGAGGTCTTTGTTGAAACATGATTTCAAACCGTGTTTCCCTCCCTTCAGGGGTTTTGAGATCCCCCTGATCAAGGCCCATTCGAATGGCTCTACCCCCAAGGTCGTTGACTTGTTTGGTCAATTCGCTGTTGGCATGGCAGAAAACCTCAATCAGGTGAATATGCTTGGCATCCTATCGAATTTCCCTTGCAGGTTTGTCTGAGTTTCTCCTGCGCTGTTAAGACATGGTTCAGTGTTGAGTCCATTCCATAGTTTCGAAGGCATCTAGCCACTCTGTGCTGAGGAACGCAAATGGCCGATCACTTCCTCGAGAGAGCAGTCTCCAAGTACATCATGCGATCTTGGAGGGCGGCCACATCCGCAGTCACATACCCCGGCTCCTTCTCCCAGACGTCGGCATAGCTTCGGCCACGGTGAGCCTTGCCGAATGTGATCAGGTAGGTCCCTTGTTATTCCAGCGTCAACTCTCGAAATGCTGCCAGTGGCATCTTGGCTCGACATGAGTCTGAGAGGACGCGCGCCGATGAGAGGGCGCGCACGGGTCTGAACGCTGAGACTTCGGCACTCGCGGACGGCTGGATTGACCTCTTCCTGTATGGTCTGCATGTTCACACGGTTCGGCGAACGAACGATCGAACTTGGCTATTAGCTGTTTAACTTGTCCGGACGAAATTGATACCTGTTCACCTGATGTTTTCCTGGATTCGCCTTGACTTGACACTTGATGGCTGCCACACGTTTCGGTCTGTTTTAGCTCGGACACATGAAAGGTGTCAGCGGGCTTCATACTGGCTGCGCAGGGCTTTGCTAGCTCGTTGAGATCTAGGACATACAAGCCTTTTGCATTGATGTTGATGGGTATGGATCTTTTTAGCATGGTACTGCGCAGCATGCCCTGACGTGTGTCTATGGTGGCCCCAATGGCCCTGAACAAGGTGTTTGACAGCAAGAACGGTGTTTGAGCTGGTACAATTTCAACCTTTAGCCTCAAAGACCCTATTGGGACCACTAGCGCATGTTTACTCTCAAGTGTTCCATGGTTGCCAAAACGAAACATGACTTTGCATGGGCATTTGGTCACCTGCTGTCGTACCTCAGGTGAAAAGCTCTGGATCAGTGAGGCCACGAGTCGGCTTCCAATGACGATCTTGGTGGCACCTGTGTCAATGATCCCTAACGAATTGTAGGTCGCAAAATGCGATCCGGCTGGTTCAGGCGGCATGGTCGAAAGGCGCGTGCTGGCAAAACTCTCAGCACAGTGGGCGGCATTCTTTCTACTCCTGGATTCGGGATGCGCGCTCATGCATGACATGCCAGGTTTCTCAATGGCTTCCCTTCTACTCTCAATGATTTCCCCTTCATTGATGTCATTGGGCCCAACACGTTCCCCTAGAACCCCAAAACAAAATGCAAAACTTGACAAAGTCAGTGAAGAGTCCCGTGAAGGTTCAATGGGCTCCTCAGGCAAGCTCATGAACTCTAAGGGCAGGGCATCGACTCCATCTTCCAAAGTCACCAGCGTGGGCGCTGTCGCCAGTGTTGTTTGGCCTGCTTCGCTGGAGCGTCCCCTCTCTGGGCATTCAGCTTTCCAATGGCCCTTGCGGCCGCATATCCGGCAGGAACTCTCAAGGATCCTCTGTTGCAACGTCTTGCGATTGCCGGAATTGCGAAAGCCACCATAGCCCTTCTTGCCCTTTTCACCTCCTTTCCCTCGGGCCTTGCCCTTGGCTGGGCCCGACAACCAGAATCCTCGGTTCTTGAATCGATCTGACAGACGCTTTCTGGCCTCAGCGAAGGTCGTGTGGGACAACGCGAGATCAGCGTCTTCTTGGATGGTGTCCAGCATGGGTTGCTCATAGTCCAAAATCAATGCAGCGTCCTCGTCGCCGTCATTGGCCAACTGTTCAATCCACTCTTCCTCATTCCAATCGTCGGCATGGAATGCCGAGTCTTCGGAGGGCAGCTCTGTGGATCCTGCATCGTGGCTCACGAATGCATTGGCCTCATAGGTCTTGGACCGAGCACTTGAGGTCTTCCCAGCATGGACTTCCTGGAAAAACTTGCTTCCCAGCAGTTTGAGGTTGGTGACAACGGCCTTGTAGTCTAGGGATCCGGCAGATTCGACAATCAACCTTTTCCGCAGGAGGATGTACGCACGGAACTCATCCATAGCGACCTTCATGCTGAGGAGCTCTTCGAATTGATGGTCGTGCCTTGCCAGATAGCTTTCGTTGGTCTCGTCCGACTGTTGAACTGTGCTGTAGATGGCACGCTCAAACCGCTCAAATTTGGATTCCAGGTTGGATTTCCCCCAGATTCCTCCCAACTGCTCAACCACTGCCTTGACCCCGTCCAAGGTGTTGACCCGCAGCACCTTTGGGTCCAGTCGTGAGATACGCTGGAATGCGGATCCCTCACACTGAAGTGCAATCCGGGGTGCCAGGTGTTGGTGATGTTCTGGAGGCCATAGTTGTGCCAAAAATTCAACCTTCTTTGTCCATTCTGTCAGATCAGTTTCTCCAGGTCGGAAATGAGGCACCTGATTCCATGGGAGGTGACTCAAACCACCACTGCTTGACGTCGAGCCGGATGGCTCCGTCTCTGGCATGTTTGCCTCCCTGGAACCGCTCACCTTTCTTCAGGCCAGAACAAAATTGAGCAATGTCAGCAATGTTGCAACGTTCCCCAACGATCAACCAATGCTCAAATCAACTCAACTCAACCAAGCAAAACAATGTATTGTAGCCTTGTGTCAACAATGCACTGCTGTTGCCAATCACAATGTACGACACAATGTTCGACCAATGAGATCAACACAACAACGGACGTCCCGCCCCGGGACTTGCCAACACTTCAAGTTCCAACACACGCTTGCTCACGGCCAACGATCAGGAGCATTTGGAGCGGAGCTCCGCTACCAATGTGGATTGCCCACACTGGTAGCCCTTCGACCCTCAGCTGGTGGTCCTCGCCGAGCAACCAAGCGTGTCCTCACGCTATGGCTCGAAAGCCTTTCGAAGGCCCTTGACCCTCACCACCCAACGGACTCGTGCCCGAAAAGGCTTCGGAAAGAAGTGCGACGGCTGAGGTCCGGACATGCCTGAGGGTTTACATCTGGAAATTCATATTATTTATATATATATATATAAAGTTGTGGGTTCTATAAGTTACATTCTGGTGGCATCCAAATGCACTAAGTGTGCCATCAATGTCGTCCTCAAAGTGTTGTCCTTGTCCTTTCCCGTACCTTAATTCTTACGCTTGTCCTTGATGTGTCTTTACAGAATCATCTACCAGGTAGAATTCTACCAGTATCTGTGAATGTTTGTTAACTAGTCCTTACTATTTTCTTGACAGTCGAGCTGTCCTTTGATTACCCCTTCTGCTCATTTTCCTTTTGCGTATTCTACTCCAAAAAATAGTCAACAGATTTCGACTGGAATCCTGATCATCTTGCTGACTCCTTTAACCATTGCACAGGTTACCTGGCCCATGGACCGCCAGCTGCCAACAAATGCACAGATAAGAGCGAGTGTTCGATACTTATAAAAGAACATGGTCCTGGCAACTTGTCCGCAAACTTCCTCTCCCAGCTCGGGTTCGATATTTCTGTTGGCAACTGCACAAAACGGGGTCGTGTTGCGAGGATGTTCAAAAAGAAAAAAGAAACTCTTCGTTGAGAACAGTTGAACAAAAACAAATGAACACAAAGCTACAAAGCGTCACATCTAAGACTCCTGCGCGTAACGTCGCACCTCGCAGCATGTTAAGTCAAGCATGTTTGGGTGAAAGAGCCAGCTCTGAGGACCAAACAGAGTCTGCCAAATGGGGCTTGCGACCCCGAGCAGACCTTACAAGAGAAGCATCTGCTTCGATGGTGTGTGAGCAAATCCTGACTTGGATCCAGACGTGCTTGCCTCAACTTCAAAAACATGCACAAAAAACAGATAAACGAGAGTGTTGACGATTAGTGTTAAACTTTGCCACTGGACCAAGGGTCCAATGCCCAGCTATCTCGCTGCAGTTGGGCTGCGTCTGTGGTGTCGGACATTGTGTCGTCCCAGGCACCATTCTCATGATGTCATTTCCTAAACTTGGTTACCCTGCACGCCCGCCCAGCTGAAACTTTGTGATGTCAATGCAGTTCTTGCAAACTGGTTGATGGACTCCCCAGCTTTGCTCGTGTCATTCCATCTAACAGACTTGCTCTCATGCACGACATGCTCCCCCGAGTCAACCCACAAGCTCACTCAAGCCCAAATCAAATTCATGAGTGAAGCTCAACTCAAACGAGGTTGCTTCACTATGACAGCACGATGCAACCTGGACGGACTTTTCCTGCGAGATCCGAAGTCCTACCTTGCCGGCAGCGTGCGCCATAGTGACGCATCGGTGACTTTGACCGCTGTGGAGCTCTAAAAACGGCAAGATGCCGAACCTTTGTACACTGGTGCCACTAAAGTTGGCTAATTTCAGAGGGAAACCAAATCGAGCACCCGCGTTCACCACTCACGACGTGAAGTCCAAATTGCTAATCTGCTTCACCGATGCTCTCTTGTCTACCTGGTAAGCCATGTTGCACAAAAGTGCTCAGTCACAAAACTGCTCAGTACTCATGGAAAGATTGAGAGTCCCACCCGCTTTCCGCTATATCCTTTGACATGTGATGCAGTCGATGCATCGATGAAGGGATTCACGCAGTCACGGTCATCCTTCAAAGAAAAGGTTGCCTTTCAGGGCGGTACAGGCGATGCAGAAAGGCTACATGTCTTGTTGATCGTTCCTCTCTGAATGAGAAAGCCGACTCCGCACTACACCTACAAGCTAAGTTGCAATAACACATGCACAGAAAAACATGCACAGCAAGAACATGACACGCTGAATTTGGAAAATGACTGAACCAAATGGATGTTTCCACGCTATATAATCAAACTGAGACCAGGTTAAGTGCAGTTGTTATGGCCGAAGGGCCTGAATCTCTCCCCGCCTGGCCGAGCTTCATTTTTCGAGAGTTCTTTTTGCGGACACTTTCACCATCTTGCACCTGCCAGTCCGGCAGCAAGTCTGTCTCAAAACATGGGAACAAGGGCATCGCTACTAGGAGCAAAACCGAAAGAACACAGACTTTAAGCAGCGGACACCCGCTCGCTTGCGGTCGCGAAGCTTTGCCTTTTCTAGGGCTTTCAAATCCTCCTGATGGCACCGGTATGCGGACAATCAGCAAGGCTGGAATGACAATACTGCGTTGACGAGCTACGCGATGCTGTCAAGACTGAACAACAAAAGAACCAGGCATCCTGCACCTGGGAGCCAACTGGTTCTGACCTCGATTGGACATCTCCAAACTCAAAATCTTCCAGAAAGGCGAAAGGGATTTCTGAGCATGGCAACAACAAAATAAAGGGGAAAAGTACGCCAAACATGCAAATTCAGAACCTTGTTGACTTCTATTAGGTCTCCTGGACAGCCAATCAACTGGTACGACATTGGAGCTGGCTCATGCACAGCTAGATGCTTCAGAATGATTGTTTTGGAAGTGCATAAGTTAGTTTTTCTAGCACTTGGCAGTGCACCTTTTTCTGAGTTCTCCGCTCGGCCACCTCAGCTGGTATTGCTGCAGGAACGGGCGCTGCTACGATCGGTGGAGCCTCTTGGCCAGCCTCGGAAATTATAAAATATTGCTAAGTGTCCTGGCCAATCATATTTCAGGCAATGATACTTTTGAACGGTGTTGACAAACTCTTGACTTTCCAAACAATTAACTTCCAATCCAAGCAAGATCTTCTATTCCGACTCAGGTTCGCACACGTCTGTACATGTCTGTTTCACTCAATGCTTTGTTCCCTTCATAGCCAACACCTCGGAAAATAAAGGTGTGATTCATGAGCAACTGGCCAACTCAATTCTACAAATCCCACCTGTATGATGACAAGTCCATAATTACAAACACAATGAAGCAAAGCGTTTCTAACGTGGTGCCAAACATTTGAAATGAATAACAAAATTGCAAAAAATGTATCATCAAGGAACCTTTGAAGCATACAACAAATCCAACTTGGGAACAAACGTTGCAAGCTCCCGAAGTCAACCTTCACCTGGAAACAAACTGGAACTGGCACATTGCAAGAAAAAGACTGGAAACCGGCTGTTTGTGCGCAACCTCTGCTTCATCGTCTGGCGCTTCCTGCCACACCACGGAAAACATATTTGTTTTATGGAACAACGCGTGCTGAGCCAAACACCTCCTCCTCATCTTCAACATCGTCGTCTTCTTCTGACAATAATGCCAAAGCATCCATGGCAATCCAGGTGGAGGCAGCACGATGGAAATCGAAGTTTAACAAATCACTCAAATCATGATTCAAATGTCAAAAACACTACACTACAACTTAGACTTCAAGAGTGAGTAAGTCATGATGGTTTCGGTTCTGTTGGACTCTTTCGGTTGTCCCTCAATCTGTCTGCTCTCTCTGGTTCAAATTTTGTGTAGCTCAACCAAAACATTGATTTCGCAACCGCTTTCAACTATGAATCAAAACAACAAGTTGATTCGATGATGCACTTCATTGACAAACAAGTTAAACATACTTCGAAAAACCTCCATCCTCCTTTTGAAAACACCTGCCCGTAACCCAAAACTGCAAGCATCACAATTTTTGTGTTTGCAATGCATGTCAAAACCAAAAAAGTTTCAATGTGCAACAGAAACACCAACCGTGAATCAGTCAATTGTTTTAAAAACAAAAACGTTTGTCAGGTGTTCTTCAGAGAATTGGGAAATGTGCGGGCGTGCAAGTCCCCCCAACACTTTCCGAATCGTCTTGAACTGCTGTCGCTGCCTGGAGGGTTCCCCCTCCTCGTGTCTCTTCTTTTTTTTTCTTTCTTGTCTTTCCAATTTTGTCTCTCTCCGTTTGGTGTCTTGCAAACCACTAAGCAATCAGGCGCT